CCCCCCCCCCCCCCCCCCCCGCGGCTCCCTGCCCCCTCCCCTCCGAATTCTAGCCGTGGAAGACATTCGATGAATTTCAAGCACGCCACGCATTTTTTTTTCAGATACAAGGCCAATTAAAAAGAAAGAAATTCGGCTAGTTCAGAAAACGATGGCGATGAATCGAAAAAGAACGTGTAGGCTATCAGGACTGGAAACTACTGAATAACGTATACCGCCGTTGGGAGGCTATTTTAGACAACTACAAAAAAAAAAAAAACCCAACAATGCAAAGTAACAATACTTACACATTCTGGAACCACTGGTAGCACTTCTTTTACCAGTGGTCGTCCACTTGCGGTCCTGAAAATTCCTTTTTTTTATATTACCAAGAATATCACGAACTCCTGATCTGGGGGACCAGTGGAAGTGATACCACCTTTTTTGCCCTTATTTTACGAAATTTAATTACGTTTTAGCGAGGAAAAAGTCCCAAAACAAGGCCACTTAGGAAATCGCTGCAGTGATCCCATATTAGTGATATTACTATGCAAAAAACGAACTGTGCAAAAAAACGCATCTTCGCACCTCCACAGGTTTTTTTTGTTGCTAACGGCACTGTTTTTTTTTCCGGCAGATGCTTCTAGCTAAAAGAATTGAGACTAGCCACCACGATTGTCAGATTAGCTGTTGTTTTATCAAAAACTGTTATCAGAGTCAGTGGCAGCAATGTTTGCACGATTGCTGAGAATGAATCTGTAGAAATACTAACAGAAAGTTACGACAGGAAAGAATCGGAAAAAAAAAGAGGAAAATGAAGGTGAAAAATGAAAATCAGAAAATTTTCGAGTATCAATTTTTGCGAAAACTAAGGCTAGGCAACAATCCTATCGTATCTCGTCTAGAAAAAAAAAATATTGCAAAAAGACAAAAAGAAAAAATCGAAAAAGCTAAGAATTATCAGAAAAAAACCCCCTTACTTGAAATCACTACACATCCCAGCTGGCTGCTTGCCAGGTTTGTATATCACCGGTGCTTGCTGTGTTTGTGCCAATCGTTCGTATGGTTGTTTTTTCGTTGGTTTGTTGCTGTTTTGTGAAGAACTTTCTTCAGAATTTGCAACGCGCGCACGTTGCAGGGCGGATGACTGGCTATCTGATGGAGTTTCTTTCTGAAAATACAAAAAACAATTTTTCAAAAAAAAAACAAAAAACTCAAAAAAACTTAAAAAATTTCAAAAAAACAAAAATTTCTACATTTTCATGCATTATAAATTTAATCCAAATCCATTAAGCACCGTTGTTTCGTCACGTACAGGAAATATAAAAACAAAACAGATTTTTCCGAAATCTCCGGAATTTTCCTTGAAAAACAGACGA